CCTGTCCGGGGAGCGTCAGCGTTTTGAGAATGACAGAGAGGCGGAGGTGGTTGTCACACAGTGGTTCCAATCCCAGGCGCAGACTTCTACGACACAGATATTCAAAAGTTGGTCCCACGGTATGACAGATGTCTCAATTCCGGTGGCGATTATGTTGAAAAATAGCTGAACACTTGCTGTGTCTGTTGCAATAAATATTTCCATGAAATTATGTTTGGTTTCTGTAAACGGCCCCAGGGAAACTTACTTGTGGACGAGCCTCATACATGAAACCCTCTCCACCATCAAATGCCTAGAGTAAGAATATGTGGAGCTATGCCTCCACTTTCATGACATGGTGGCTAATTAAACATAGGGACAGTTACTCCTTTGTCTTAACACAAAATAACACATCTGTAATATATTATGTACTATACCAGTTTTATGATATTAATTCCTTTTTTGCTGAAGTATACCTGCTCTCAGAATTCAGCATTAGCCATTGTTCAGTATTGCTTTGTAAATTACATTAGTCACAATGTTTTTAATATGGAGGAAAGTTTATTCTATTTATGTATATTTATATGTGTGTCTTTGTAGTCGCCACTGCCACGTGGCTATCCGCCACCCTCTTCAGCCATGTTATTTGATGATGATCCGGGCATCATGTCTGAGGTAGAAACGAGCTCAACAGGTTTTCGCAGAGGTGGAAAACAACGCAGTTCACTGCCTGTTGTCCGCACACCATCTAAAACATTGGAACGACCGCTGGGTAAGACCTCTGGAGCTGGTGTCCCCATCGGTGTTGGTCCCATGCTCAGGATCTCGCCACACCCCTCTGCCATGGCAACTCACCATCACCAGATGGTGCAACTCCTCAATCACCACCATGGTCTCTCTAACAAGCATTCATCTGCGACTGCGACAAGCGGCGGTAGGGGCACCTCTCTCCTACCTTCTTGTAGTTCGCTCGCTCTTGTGTACTAGTCTGCCACAGTTCTTATTGTTGCCTGATAGTAATGGTGATAGATTTGCTGACACTCAATTTTTTTTTTCTGTTTTGTATATGCATGGTTGGTGGTATAGGGCCACTCTCAACACATTGTTTAGAGAGATGTCAGAGGAATGGACATCAGGTTCAGACAGCTGAAGATTGCAGATTATAGAATATTCTTAGGAAGTATTAGATGCTTGGATATGCATGGAAATCTGTGGTATATAATGGAATTTACTTCAAATCATGTTAAAAAGTATTTAATCTAATCTTTGACATATAAATATCCAGATAAACATACAAGTAAAATATAATGTTATTTTGTTATTAATATTTCCATGTATTCATTCTTCTGGTGGACCATATAATCCAGGTGCTCTTGGAATAAGGAACTGAACTGGAGTCTTGTTAACTTATGTTTGATCCCTAATCAGGATACCTTTCTTTCTGTACAGAAAAAAAAAACACCTCCCCTGAAGCTGAAACCTGGGGAATATAGGGAGATTTTGATGCCTGCATTACTATAATTTGGAGCTGATTCTAGGCTGTAACCCCTCTGCAGACATGACCTTGACATTGACTTATTGTTGGGAGTTGCAGAATATCGCTTATGAGTGCATGTACCTAAGGGAGGTTTGCTGGAAAGTTAATAGGACCATAACTGGAAGAATCCACCATAAGCAGTGTTCATAGAGACAGAGAGGTCTCTTGTTTATACAGATGTAATGTTGTGCATATTTATTTCATGGATAGTTTCTGATCCCTATACTGTAATGGAAGCTTTCATTTAGTTTGCTCTACTGAATCCATCTTAGAAGTAGAGAGCCAGGTTTATTCCTTGGCTGAAGTGATGTTACATGCTTGTTTCACCAGATTGTTGATACTTCAGTTTTGCATACTGAGGTCATATTTATTTATTTCTAAGTTATTTTAACATAGGCATATCGACTGCAAAGGTTATGTATGAGGATGTTTACTTACAATGAATTGAAAATGAGGAGGAAGGAAGCAGGCATGACTTCTTAAAACACTGTCATTGTAGGTGCCTGGGAAGACTATAGGGAACCATAAAATAATTAAGTTAACCCCATCACTGCTATATTCAACTGTATTTGACTTCAGTTCACATCAAGAAATAATTTTTTTTCCTTTCACTGTGTCATTTCACTTCATTTAATGTGCTGTAAAAACGCGTTTTGTTGCATTTTAATATTTTTTACATAAAAGTTGTGTTGTTTTGGGAAATTGGTGAGATAATAATATGCAACAAGAAGGGTTAGTGATGACGTTTCTGTCGGATTGGATTGAACTTTATTCTGCATTATATGGAATGGTGTAGAAACACAATCGTGATTATGGAAAAAAGTTTACTTTTAAAATTTGGAAACTTTTTTTCTTACAAGTTTTGTACGTCTAACACATTTTACACACACACATACAGGTATGTACATACGAAACTTCTGGGATGCGATGCCATCATTAACAGCATCACATTCCAGAAGACTAATGTTCATAGTTACTGCCACTTTCTACTTACTTTGCCTTGTCATTAACTGAGTAATCACGACTAAAATATCATGATAGTACAGGCTCTGCTTCACATACTCACAATCCAGTCATAATATCAAACATTGAAAAAGTGAAAAAACAAATGCAGCTTTCAAGATGCTTCTGTAAATAAAGATATTCATGAAAATAACGACGTCCGATGGCAGAAACTGTATGACCGTCATATCCACCTACTGACATCATTAATATTATGTGCAATCAGTGTATGCAGCAGTTTATTGGCACACTTTGTATAACGTCAACATAATTAGAATGTTATTGAATGTAGAGAAATGTCCATAATTAACTAAGACATTATTATTTTCATATTTGAGTGGATTATTTATATCAAAATTACTTTTTCACATACATCCAACATATTTTTCTTTTCTTTAAATTTAACAACTCCCATTAGCATACTAATATAAAACACTAGTTTACAATAAGGTTACCCAAGAGAAGAGTGTTGTTATGTTAAGGTTCATTCAATGTCCCCTTTCACCACTTTGAAAAAAATTGTTGAAAAATCAGTATGCAGCATCATGCGATAGACAGTGTACAGAGCATGTAACAAAGAAAGGTTTATCAGTACTGTGTATAATTAATGTGAAAATTCCTTTGTAATATAAATATGTAAAGTCTGAACTAGGTTACAAGACCAGCCAACAAAACCTAAGAAGTATGAACATCCAGTAATCCCAAAACTAACGAGAGTCTTGCTGCTGACAGTTACTCTATGCATTGTAGCATTGTTTTAATTGACTTGACGATCAGCCTTGTAGATACTTAGATTTCAGAGTGCCTTGAGGCTCCAGTTCTTATTTAACATATTTTATTTATATATTAGTGGCAATTAAAGTAATTATCTGTAGTGTGTTTGCGCTTGAACTTTTTTTTGTGGTAGTGACCTACATTTGCCACAGTTAGAATACAGCTTAGAACAATGGCAACTTAAAATCTCATGCAGATACACCAGCCTCACAGAGTGAACTTAAAGTGAAACTTTAATATGATCATAAGGAAACATGTAGTTCTCCTTGGTAACTGTGGTCTCCAAAAGGAGTTAGTCAGATTCGGTTCTGTTGTGTTATAGGAAAGAAAGTAATGCATTCATACAATATATTTTGGCCATTAGAAAATTTTCTCTCTGAAGAACCTTCAATTTCAAATAATGTGAAATAACGTGTGATTTCTGAAGTAGTTATTGGCATTGTGACATTGTATCATTATTATTTGATTCCTTACTTAATTTATGTCTTCCTTTCTTTAGCTCAGTTTCCTGTAGTTGCATGCTTTGAAATACTGTCATATTGCACTTCACACTCCACTGTGTATGTTTTTCCTCCCTTATAGGTCTTTGTTATTTAATTTAATTTTTTCATACCTTAGTATCTCTGCTTGTGTATTGATTTTATATTAGTTTCTGTAAAGTGCCCCTACCGTTCGCCCGCCCGCCAAGTTTAAAATTGAAGCACCTATGTCAGAATATTGGAAATGTTCACAGTTTTTGCTAATGACCATGGTTGATATGGTTTTGTGCTTGATAAGGGGTGGTGATGTGTAATGGCTGACATGTTTTGTGCCATACTATGTGATTGCAACCAGTGTGAAAATTGAATTTTGACATGTAAGAGGCAATAATTTTCTTCAGTATTTTTGTTGGTGAACTGAAATAGGATTTCCATAGCAGTCATATAAAACCCATAAGAACACATTCTACCTATTACACAGTTTGAGGATAAAGTGAAATTGAAAAATTTTACAGTGATTTGAAAAAATTTATGGTCAGTATATTCTGGAATCATTTATGCCCTTTTTCCTTGTTATAATTGATGTGCTTGTTATGATCCATATTGTTGGACCGTATTCTGGACCAATACTGCATAGGGACTAAGATCTTGGTTTTACAAATATGGCTACCTGATCATCAGTAGTGAGAGATGCAGCCTCTTTCTGATATTTTCAAATTCGAGACCTTTGATCGTGTTATTGACAACAAGAAAGGGACCTATCATTCTTTAAAATCTTGAATAATAAGTGTTATAATAGTGTGGTATAATATGTATGAAGGAAACAGAATGAGTACACCTAAAGTGACACATAATAGGTACAAATAACAGAGGATCTCACTTCCCACAAGAGAAGTATTTCTTTGACCAGCCATGTTGGTCTTAGGCAACTCGCAGTTTGTCCTCATAGATTCTTATTCACTAATTGTACCTCCAATTTATTCTAGTTAAAATGTGAAATCTGTGTTTGATCTTAGGTAGGGATAGTTGGTTGAGTACTTGATAAATGCACACATTAATTTTGAATTACATTTCTTAAGCAGTGATGAATGCTGTGAGCATTTCTGTATCTCTGGCTTTGATATCACTGTCAGTGAATGCCTAGTAGTTTGCTACAAATATTATATACACATGCTTAAAACGTAGTTTGATACCGTTATGTACGAAAGTTAAAATAAAATCAGATTTCTGATGGTTCTATATGGCTGTCACAATATAACTTTTTGACATTTTAATTAGAACAAGTACTGCCTTAAACTATGAAATTAATAGTTTGAAATAAGAATGGCTGCATTCTACTATCCTTAAATATACACAGATCCACAGGAAGCTGTTGATAATTGTTGTTATGAGACTCAGCTCTTTTACTTTCTTCTAAGTTGCTATGAAATTATTGGGGTAAGATGAACATTACTTTGAATGGTGAATATTGTATATAATAGCTATTTTATATTATGAAAGATCTAGTTATATGCCAATTCACTATTAATCATAAACATCAGAATTTGATGTTTTCACATATCCTTGCATTGTCAGTTACTTTCACTCAAGAAGATTGTAATTCTTTATAGGTCCGAAGTGACTGTGTATCTCTTACCTTAATATCAGTCATCTGGTATTTTACTCATAAAGAAAAGTTATGGGTTTCATTTGTTTTCCAAACATAAGTGACTAATGGTAGTAATATAGGTGCTGTTTACATGCTTATTAAGTTTACTGGTCTCTAACACAGTTGCAAAGGACACATCTGATGAACCTTGTTAAATTCAAGTTCTGGCGTGTTGTTATGATCTCTGTATTGTAACTGAATATTGAACTGTAGGAAGGAATGGAAAGGGTTTGGTGGAGCTGTTGATGTGCGTTAGATTGGCGGATCTGATAGTAATTCCTACACACTTATTCACGAAATTCGTGAAAGGGTGTGAGAAAAATTAGCTGGATGGTTGACTGTATTGTGGAATGTTACAAAAGGAACAATTTCTTAGTTCCAGCTAAATTAGAAGGCAGAAATATTCTTTAGAGTTGTGGATGTCCTGACACAGAGGCAGCTACATTTATGCCAGTGCAAAATGGATTTGTGAATTTGAATCCTAAGCGTTTGTG